CTCTCTCTCTCTCGCTCTCCTCCCCCTCTCTCTCTCTCTCTCTCCCCTCTCTCTATCTCGCTCTCCTCCGCGCCCCGCCCGTCCCCGTCGTCTCTAACCAGCCTGAGCTCCTCCTACGAGTGTCTTCCTCGTCTCTCCCTTCATCTTCTCCAGCAAGCAGGAGGCGACGTAACTGATCTCTGGTCCAAATCGAAAGCTCTGTAAAACATGAAGAACTTGTCACACATCCATAACGTGAGTGGCGAACAACGACAGAACGATCCGCGGGTGAATAATCGTCAGGCGTGAACAACGGCAGAACGATCCACGGGTGAATAATCGTCAGGAGTGAACAACGGGAGAACGATCCACGGGTGAATAATCGTCAGGAGTGAACAACGGCAGAACGATCCACGGGTGAATAATCGTCAGGCGTGAACAACGGCAGAACGATCCGCGGGTGAATAATTGACAGGCGTGAACAACGGCAGAACGATCCATGGGTGAATAATTGACAGTGTGGGAGCATAGGTACATATGTGTGTGCCTTCTCTGTGTGGGAGCATAGGTACATATGTATGCGCTTCTCTGTGTGGATGTACATCTGTGTCCTTCAATAGCGTGCAGTCGTTGTTCACTCCTGACGATTATTCACGCACCGATCGTTCTGCTGTTGTTCACTTTTGACGATTATTCACCCGTGGATTGTTCTGCCGTTGTTCACGCCTGTAAATTATTTACCTGTGAATCGTTCTGCCGTTGTTCACACCTGACGATTATTCCCCCGTGGATCGTTCTGCCGTTGTTTACGCTTGACGATTATTCACCCGCGGATCGTTCTGCCATTGTTCACTCCTGACGATTATTCCCCCGCAAATCGTTCTGCCGTTGTTCACTCCTGTCAATTAATCACCCGTAGATTGTTCTGCCGTTGTTCACTCCTGTCAATTATTCACCCGTGGATCGTTCTGCCGTTGTTCACTCCTGTCAATTAATCACCCGCGGATCGTTCTGCTGTTGTTCACGCCTGTGTGCGTGTGTGCGTGCGTGTGTGCATGCAGATGTGTGAAGAGGGACTGGTACATGTGTGCATACTTACATACATTGGTACGTACATTTGCGCACGCAGCACTGGTGTGTACATGCGTCTGTGTGCCTTGTCTGTGTGGGAGCATAGGTACATATGTATGCACTTCTCTCGCACACACACTCACACTCACAGGACATACAGACATAGCATACTCATATATGCGCACGTGAGCGTGCACACACACACACACGCAATGCACAAATACATGCATGCACCACACCCTCTCTAGCTCGAATATATAACAAAATCTTTGACGTGAGTAGGTACACTCCCCACCCACACACATGCACACATGCCCCCCCCCGACCTACTCCCTCCACACCCACCTCGGCGAGAACGCATTACCTGCGTCAGATAGAATGTTGCGGCGTCGGTGATTGTATTCAGCGAATTAATGGCGCCTCGAAATCCGTAGATCTTCTGATGGGGATCCCCGACGAAAATCTTAGCACACGTCTGCCGCAGGACAACGTCCGCCATAGCTGCAGCAGATGTCCAGTAGAGAGTCAGTGAGAGTGACAGGGAGGAAGGAAGGGAGAGTGAGAGATGGTGAGCAAGTGAGCGAGTGAGAGAGAGAGAAAGAGAGAGAGAGAGAGAGAGAGAGAGAGAGAGAGAGACAGAGAGAGAAAGAAAGAGACGATGCAGAAATGCAGTCTGATAAGGGTACTCTAAAAGTAAACTTCTACGACATTCACACTTAAATCATATTCGAATTCTGCAATCATAAGAACCGAGAGTTGATAAGAAAAGCAGTGACTTGCAATACTTGCAATACAACTCGAATAAAAAAGAGTCAAGTGTAGACTTGCAAGCTATGGATAAGCTAACAGTCATGATATACTAGAAATTAGAAAACATACCACGACTCATTCGCAATGTAAAAAAATTAATAGAACCGTAATATATAAATACAATTACTAAAATCATGAACAAATCTATCATAATCTAAAATAAATCTATAAATGAAGAGCTTATTTGCAAAACTGCCTATGTACATTTTGGAGAAGTGAGAGAAAATGACAAAAACAATTATTTGACAATCATTAACATTGTTTTCAGCATTGGTTAGAATGTGCTGATGTATTATAGGCTATTTTGCAACAAAAGGTTTTTGGATGTAAGCTGTTTTGTAATTAAACGAGTCTTTTAGGCTGTTTTTCAAGAAAAATAAGTACTCTACATAGTATATGTTCACGTACTATGCATTGGTGGTTTAAACCCATTTTTGAGAAAAATGAACATAGGCAGTTTTGCAAACAAGCTCTTCAAATATATATAAATCTATAAACAATCTGTAATTCAACCCCGCCTCCCACGACTGCGTGTGTGTGCGGCGTACGCACCGGGCGTCGAGTCCTGGCTCTCGTCCATCATGATGCAGTCGTATTGCTCCAGCAGGGGGCGCTGCAGCTGGAACACCTTCAGGTAACCGTCGTGCGGGATGCAGACATCTTTGTCGGTCGGGTCGGACATGCGCTCCCACACCGCGGACGCCTCCCGCAGAATGTTCTGTGTGCAGGGAGAGACGCCACGTAAATCTTCGCTGGAATTTTTGCACTCAAGCCGACGCCATTCTTTCTCGGCATGTTCGGCAGAAACGCGGCCCTTATTAAGATGGGATATTTGGCCATGTAGAAGAATTAGAGATCCCTGGAAAAAGACCGGTTGGAAGACCAAAGAGAACATGGATAGGGACAGTGCAGAAAGATCTGAAGGACTTGAATATAGATGAAGGATCAACGCAGGACAGAGAATGGTGGAGGAGGATCATCGCAAGTCCAACCCCAAGCACGGGAAAAGATGGACTATAAACGAAGATGATGATGATGATGATGATGATGATTTGGCCATGTAGAGCCACTGATTCCCAGTACGATGTTCCGTGCAAAGCGACACTGTGCAAACCTTCGGTCGAACTTTTCATCGTGCTCTTCTAAATCTAATCGTTCATCTACATTATAGAGTCTACATTATTAGCTACATAGTTACACATAGCAAGTCTACGGTAGTACACTTGTATCACTGGCAGTCCCCACCTACACGTTTTCATGCCCTTAACTGACAGCCCACGAGTCAAACCCTAACTGAAGTGTGGCTAAAAACTGAATTTCATAGCACCCACCCACCTCACGGGAGCTGTGAAGAAACCGAAACAGGAGAAAGGAGGATAGACACAACACAAACAGCTTCAACTCGACACCAAAGTCACTACGGTCCATCGGGTGCTACGAAAACCTTTCTCCCGGGAAAAACCCAGGTAACGAATGCACCTACCGCCTTCTCCTGGTTGTTGAAGGGCACCTTGAGGGTGTGTCGCACCATGCTGCGCTCTCTCGGCACGTGATCGACGCACAGTTCGATGTCGGCGGACGCGATGAAACACTCGAGCGTTGTCGCGACCTGCTTCGCCCGCAGGAACAGGTTCCCGTAACCCACACCAGACGGCAGGATGCTGGCGATCTGACTCACCTTCACGCTCGACGCCATCTTGAATGCGAACCTGGAACGTGACCCGCACGGACGAGCGGTTACGTTTCCAACGAGAGACAGGTTCCCCGAGATTACACTCGGGGAAAACTACGATATATATGCGTGAGGGAATGACAAGAAAATAGCGTCAGTAGGAATCCAAACCTACTAGGGCAGGGGTCGAAATTAGCGGTATCCCGATATCCGCGGGATAGTAGATTCTTGTGTTGGATAGCAGATTTCAATGCTTGGTATCCCGCCGGGATAATTAAAAAAAAATCGTCAAAATCGGGATAGTGGTTATTGAGTTATCAACTTTATATGGCAGCGCATCTGAGCGAGTGCAAGTAGAGGAAGGCGCGCGCGATCTGAGCGGGCTCAGGCACCCTTACTATGCCACACTAGCGTTATACAGCAGGCATAGCATATTTGCAAGCGTAAGCTTGGCCGATGTTGATCATAATGTGATGTGTATACATTGTATCAAGCGAACCAGACAATGCGTCTAGACAATGTGTCTGCAGTGTACTTGTGTGCATATCTGTAAATCTTTTTTCATATTTTTATATAATAATTACATTACATATTAATAATTTTCAGATGCTATTATTGCATATTTCAAGATTTTGGATACCAACATTGTTGAAATTACTATCCAAAAAATGGGATACCAGAGCTTTGGGGGGGATACCAGATTTCAATACCTGGTATCCCGAATGGATACCATAATAAAAATCTAATTTCGACCCCTGTAGGGATACTACAAATACTAGGGATCTGAAGTAGTCCACCCACGTCAAACAGGGGTGGCCACGCAAAAACGTGGAATGTCGTCAGAAAACAGGGTAGGGGATGGAAAGTAGAGGTCACACCCCATTAAACGATGCAGACATTCAGCCAG